AATATTACAGAGATTTTTGCAACTATTTTACTGCTACTACTACTACTATTATTATTATTACTACTACTACTACTACTACTACTATCAATGGTGATGAAATGAGAATACTCATAATAATAATAACAATAATAACAATAATAATGATAAATAATAATCTATCATAAGGTCTTAGTGCTGGCCCAACTATAATAAATTGCATAGTATGACGTCATCACGTCAGCCCACGTCGTCTGCTAGACTATCTTAGATCCACTTACTCAACAAATATCAACTCTATCAAAGCAAGGCTGAAATCATCGAAACACAACACTTTAAGTGCTGACGTATACTAACGTGTTTTGCATCAGTAAAAACGTCCGTAGTCAGCAGGCCTGAATAACCCGACACAAAAATTAAGAAAAAATATATGTAGAACTTCCAGTGCATGCACAATACAGACTTAAAACGCAGACGCTAAAAACCTTTGCCGGCGATATAATGCGAAATTTCAACAAGTCGCCGGATCCCGTTTCACGCACAATCACAGCGGACTGTTCACCATGGCTACGTCACTAAACAGAATGGCATAATTTTCTCAAACGACCTGTTTCATTATTCTTGCTGTCTATAGACCGCTGGAAGACATATACGACGTATACATAAGACATACATGACGTCAGAAGTAGATAATAGGGAATTCCTATAAGATAATTCCCTATTATTAACTTCTGATGACGTATATAATGCATGCGCAGAGCCGACGTTAATACATCGCCATTATCTTGTTAATTAACAGATTGGAAGAGCGAGAGTGATGGTTCTCTAAGGAGCCTACTTGCCTAAAAAATTAAAATGTTAAAAAATTCAGATTTCTTTCATGATTTCAAATATTTTTTCAACATACGCAATGCTTTCTAGCAGCGCACCCAATGTACTGCCGCCACCAGCCACTAGACCACTTACGTGAAGGCTTTACTCATTGGATTGTCGTCTTTGTTTATCGGATGTCACTATGTTGTAAGAAAGGATTCGTGTCATGATAAATCTATGCGATTAACATGTTAGCAGCGGTGTCGGTGAAACTCGAAAGTTTGTCGAAACTGTTAGTAATACGGTGTTAATTGGATTTGTTATGAAATCAATTTATTCTTATATACATCTATACTTTTCTTCGTGCGACCACGGCACTGCCTTCTCGTGCAAGGCGGAAGTTACAATCACTGAGTGCGTGCGTGCGTGCGTGTGCGTGCGTGTGCGTGCGTACGTAGGTGGTTGGGTGCGTGCGCGCACGCGTTCGCAGGTCGGTATTGCAGCGACGCCCATTGTCACGTCATTACAGTAGAACACGGATGGACAGGAAGTGACGTCACGCACCCTGACCAGACGTACTCGCCTGGTTCGCCGCTCGTTAGGTAATCGAGTAGAGCGACATTGATTCAGTTTCCTCATCTCAGCACACTTTGTAGCTCATTAGCCAAGACTTGTTGGCCAAGTTGGTCACGGAGAGGCAATGTGCGTACGATTTCAGGATGCTCAATGTCCGTGCTGTTTAAAATGGATGTAGAGGGAAGTATATATCAGAGGTTCTAGAAACATGTCGATTCGTGCGCTGGAATCACGACATTCATGAAGCCTGGGTGCATAGGCTATCGATAAATATTGAAAATTGGAGTATCGATAATCGATTTCGATATCTAAGCTAGGAATATATACCAAATAATGTATTATTTTGCAACGCTCTAATTTAAACTTGTTTCATGAAAACTTTGGAATATATATTATGCAAAATGAATTCAAGATCTTTCAGATTGAGAGAGCTCGAAATAGTTAGTGTATATCATTATTCGTGCTGCCGCCTAAGGGAATGACAATAAATTGTGTGCAAATTTTGTGATTGAGCGGGGAGTAAATAACATGAAAGAAGCCAGGCAAATATCAGAGGATCTAACATCAGGAAAATACTTAAAAGCGAAGACTGGTTAACAAAATCAAACTCAAAGCCAAGCAAGAAAAGAGACGTGTCATTAAAATAAGATGGCGGAGAGGTGTTACTTTTTTTCTTTTGCAAAGGAGTGCACATTTATCGTGCGGCAAATCATCTTCAGGGTTAGTTCGACGTTTTCTCCAAGCGCATCCTAGTGCGCACAACGGGGATGCATAGCAAATACATTTCACAAAACGATTTCGTACGCCGAACCTTGCCGAATACTCACCGCAAACGATGGATTTTATCACTAAATCGTAACTAAAACATGAGCACAAGGGCGATGGAGCGTGTGGCGCTGATATAGGAGCATGAAACCCTGATTACCGAGCTCACATCTACGTAGAATCAATCAACAATCTTGACAAACATTCAACAAATCATACACGAGGCAATCTGAATCAACCGAAAACGCTATGGCCGCACTGAACTCCGGGTAATAACGTCGATCATGTATAGGCAACATAGATATATCCTGCAATAGACCAGACAGCCTATGGAGAGACTAGCGCATTGTTAGGCCCGCGCTGACACTTGCGCGTATTGATAGATATCTATGGCTGGGAACACGATTACATAGATCCTCGATGACGTAACGCAATGAACGTCACGCATGACTCATCGCTCCATAAAATGACGTCTGGCGCAGTAGCAGAAGACGTTAGGTCCGCACGGGACCGGTAAGCCCTTATCAAGCTCATAACAGTGGGACGGACTCGCGATATACGTACCCTCTGTAATTATACCCATTATCATTATAATATACATGTAGAATTAATTGTAGATAGTAAAAGAGTCGTGGAAGCGTCCCTCTACGGTATTATCTACTTCATTTGCATATGTCTCAGAAATACACTACCGGGCGCATTCGAGAAACACCGTATTTCATGGTTATGCCTATACACGCGAGTGAATATTTGCAGTGAATAAAGAGAGTATATTTATTGGGTTACGTCACTTGAAAAGGAATTGTCGTGTTTTAATGGGCGGCTAAATTTATTAGCCTGGCGGGAGGGAAGAGGGCGGGGGCATGAGTCGATGTGAAGCTTTGTTGCTAGTAAGGGGGAGGGGGCAAACAAACGCGAATGGAGACAGGGACGCGGTGGCAGATAAAATGACAGCCTTAATTAAATTGAAAATTGTTTGAGCAATAGTTACAACGAAAGACAGGGGGCGAAAGAGAGAGAGAGTGAGAGAGAGAGAGAGAGAGGAGAGAGAAAGAGCAAGAGAAAAAAGCAAATAAATAGATAGATAGATATAAACGATAAGAACACATATATATATATATATATATATATATATATATATATATATATATATATATATAATATATAGAGAGAGATAAATATATAGACAGATAGATTGATAGATTGTGAGCGAGAAGGGTAAAAATAGATAGAGAGAGGAGAGTGCGTGGGGTGAGAGACATATGTAGTGCGGTGTAACAGATAAGGGTAGTTCCAGCGTATATCATTCATTGTATTCGCCAGCTTGTCATTCGATACTCGTACTAAGTCATTAGGCTCGATGGAAGTCTCCTACCAATTCTCTAAATAATCATACGACGCCGCATTCAGGGGGACACCACGCATATCATCCTCTCCCCCTTCCCTCAACGCTAGCTCCGGGTAGCTCACTCACGATTTAGTACCGCTCGGGATCACTGGAGGTTGCTGCTCTCGTAAATCAGTGTAGTGTGTGTGTTGTGTGTGTGTGTGTGTGTGTGTGTGTGTGTGTGGTGTGTGTGTGTGTGTGTGTGTGTGTGTGTGTGTGTGTGTGTGTGTGTGTGTGTGTGTGTGTGTGTGTGGTGTGTGTGTGTGTGTGTGTGTGGTGTGTGTGTGTGTGTAATGTGTGTGTGTGTGTGTGTGTGTGTGTGTGTGTGTGTGTGTGTGTGTGTGTGTGTGTGCGTGTGTGTCGTCCGCTCTCACTCTCTTTGTCTCTGTCTTTTCTCTCCCCTCGTGTGCGCTTTTTCGTTTTTTTTCGATTTCGTTTTCTCTCGCTTCCTCTCCATCTCTTTCTCTCTCTATCTCTCTCCGTCTCTCTCTCTCTATCTCTTTCCGTCTCTCTCTCTATCTCTAGCTCTATCTTTCTCGTTCTCTCTCTCGCTCGTTCTCTCCGTCTCTCTTTCGCACTTTCTCTCGTTGTTTCTTCTTGCTCGCTAATTTCCAGCCGTTTCACACATTGACTAATTTAGCGCCTGCTCCCTAGCGAACTTTCTTCCATCATCTCATTATCTCTTCTCCTCTCACTCGCTAACTCGATTACGTATATCAACGATGTTTTGACTAGCAATGCATGCGCGTAAAAGTAGCAATTAGTGAGCAAGCCAGCGAAATAACTAAATCAATGAACTAACACGCCATCACCATGTGGGAATAAAGCTGGGTTTACGCCAACAACTTTCTGTTGAAAAGTTGACAAGTTGCTCAACTTTTCAACTAATCGACCACGAATCGGCAGATGCCAACTATACGTGAGAGATTAGAACATGTTCCATTTGCTCAACTTTTGGGCAGCGAGTTGATGAATTTTTTTGCCATGCGGATGATGCCATGCCATGCCATGATGGAGGTACGTGTTCCTCCCTCCAGGGCGAGATAACCTGCGGGCGCTTTTTTGCTATCGGCGCTACACGGGCTACACCTGGCGCGAATTAATACATGAAATGCGTATCTACATCGCCCCGTAGCACACTGCAGGTGAATGTTGAATCGTTTGACGACTCGCGGTCGATAATGTAAATACTTTTAACATCTGATAGAAAGGTTGATAGAACGTTGAAAAATTGTTCAACTCTTCGAATTTTCACCTAAACATGTAAACCCAGCTTGCTTAAGCCGATTGGCTAAACATATAATATTGGAGGCAGGCTTATAAGAAAAGGTTTTTTAAAGGTTTTTACGCTCATTTTATCTTACTTCTATTCCTGACTATTTCCAGGATGTGTAGGTTGATAGACTTCTTGATTGGCTATGTGATATTTCTGCACTCGTGTGACATGTCTTATGTCATTTGTCAACATTTGTTTCTATTTTAGGTGGCCCGCTCGAAGGCAGTGTAAGATCGAGACAGGCAGAATACATTAGAGAACTCAACTGCTTATTAAAAGGAAGGCTGGCATCAGAATGTAAGTCAGCTCTATCTCGCATCTCATGTATTGACTGCAGTCAAACGGTGAAATGCCACACACGATCAGTGTTTGTGTGTGTGCGTGCGTGAGTGTGTGTGTGTGTGTGTGTGTGCTGTTGTGTGCTGCTGTGTTATTGTGTGTGTGTGTGCGCGTCGTGTCTGTGTGAGTTTGTGCGTGTGCATGTGTGTGGGCACGCGCGCGTGTGTGTGCGTGGTTCCCTCAGCATAAAGCGAAGGAGAAGTGATTTTTATCCGCTAGTGTGAGAGGTGGTTAGATAACTACACGTGGTGCGAAACAACAACAATGTCGTCCGTTAATTTCCTGCACGGTGCTAAACATTGACATTAATGCTTATGAAAACCTAGCGATCATTTCCGATGCCACATCGAAGTTGATTATCATGCTTATATATATATATATATAGGGGTGCGACAATGTGGGGCGGTATAGCAATAATATTTCATCAATTCAGTCCCTTCTATCTATCGGTCGGGTCTATCGGACCTTCGGTCTATAGGGATGACCCCAGCTGTACGTGCATCTATGGTTTATATACGCTATTTATTGTTCATGTGATCATTGCCGTTTGTTTTTACGGCTGCTTTCAGGCAAAATGATAGAGCCGGGCGAGTACGCAAGAAATGCCAGATATTCCGAGAGCGAAGGAAGGTATAACGAACACCACTGCTAACTAATACTACTAATCATATATTATAGATGCACTATAGATAACACAGTCATTACAGTGCCATAGAACACCAACTCTGCGTGCGTGCGCGTGTGTGTATCCGTTCGTCCGATTGTTCACCCCGTGTGTGTGAGCGTATGTGTAGGTATCCTCTCTCTTATGGTTATGTGAGTGACAATTGCATTTCATATTGGCGTAGCTCAGTGGATAAATTGAAAGACAGTAGAAGGCAACGCGAAGGGATCAGGGTTACGGAATTGCATCGTCGATTGATTGATAGCAACTGAATATCGATTAGATGATTGACCGACAAATCGTGAACGAGTAATCAGACGAATATTGTTGCATGAGTATTACATACATTAGGCCACTTCTCTCTAGCTCTCTCCCTCTATTTTTTCTCGCGCGCTCTCTCTTTCTCTCTTTCTCTCCCACTCGCTCGATCTATCACTGTCTTTATTTCTCTCTCGTTTGTTCTTTCTCTCTGTCATTGTATCGCTCTCTCGCTCTCTCCCTCTCTCTCTCGCTCTCTCTCTTTCTCTCTCTCTCTCTCTCTCTCTCTCTCTCGCTCTCTCTCTCTCGCGCGCGCTATATCGCCCACTCGCTTTCTCACGTTCTTTCTTTTTCTTTCTCTCTCGTTCATTCTTTCTCTGTATCTCTCTCTCGCTCGCACTCTCACACGCGCGCTTCCTCTTTCGCTTTTTGTCGCTCTTCCTCTCTAGGTCTCTCTTCCTCTCACCCTATTGTGCGCGCTCTCTCACTTGCTCTCGCTCTTACTCTCTCTTTATCGACGTGCTATCACTCTCTATCGCGCGCTCTCTTTCTTTCGACGTGCTCTCATTCTCGTCTCTCTCTCTCTTCTCTCTTTCCCCTTGTCTTATTCGCTCCTCTCTCTTCTCTCTTTTCCACTGTCTCATTCTCCCCTCTCTCTTCTCTCTTTCCCCTGTCTCATTCTCTCCCCCTCTCTCTTTCGCTAGGTGTCTAGCTCTCTCGGTGTCGTTTACTCGCTCTCTCTCTCTACACGCGTGCCTTCGTTACGATACTGCCTACGTGATATATACGTGTGCAGGCGCAATCATGGATTCGTATGAACGTGGGAGTGTAATTAGTTAGAATAACATGCAGTCGGCAAGCGTATCAGAGAAATTCCACTAGCAATCACGCGCAGATACATAAATGGACTTAAGCTAATGTCGAGGTTCAATGTGTGTTGCTGGGCTACGTGGTATATATGGCCTCCCGTGTGAGCAGCTCTGCCACAGAACACCGTGTGCACTGTGTGTCACCTCGATGAAGGAAAAGTGGTCGAGATAGAATGAGAAGTGAGGCGGGGCGAATGAAGAGGGAGAGAGAGAGAGAGAGTGCGTGAGAGGAAAATGAGGGGATAAGAAGGAAGAGCGAGTGAGCAAGCGAGAGAGAATGGAGAGGGAGGGGAAGCGAGAAAGTGTAAATCTAGAAAAAGCAAGACAGTATGCAAGCGAGAGAGATGGGATGGGAATGGGTGGGAGCGAACAGGATCAAAGAAAGGGAGACATAAAAAGAAGGCGGGAGACAGAGGGAGAGAGAGAGAGAGAGAGAGAGAGAGAGAGAGAGAGAGAGAGTAGAGAGAGAGAGAGAGAGAGAGAGAGAGAGAGAGAGAGAGAGAGAGAGAGAGAGAGAGAGAGAGAGAGAGAGCGAGAGAGAGAGCGGGCGGTGGGAAAGCGGGGATATAGAACATATACATGTTCCGTGTTTAACGCTTCCACACTCGTCGCAATTAGTCCTAAAAGCTCTCCAACGCTTAGTCTAATGTCGGAGGACAAAACTACGCCACGCGCGCGCGCCTGCTACCGCCTTTACCGTTAAGTGACAAGTGTCATCCGCGATCACACGTGCGGCTGCTAGCAGTCGTTTGAACGTCGGCTCTCTCATCGCAGCCGCCGACGTCTCACGCTTCGCCTCGCTCCTTCCCATCAAGCTGCCGTCGGCTCGCCTTCTCCTTCTCGTTATCGTCGCGCTCATCGGGGGGGGGGCCAAGATTGGAGAGAAAACACGGTGGTCACGCGCGAACCTTAAGAGCCTCATGTTAGGCACTGGTGCGATGCGTAGCGGGGAAAGAGCGAGGAGAGAGAGAGAGAGATGAGAGGTAGTGCTAACACTCTAAAACATGGAATGCGATCGTCGGCTAGCGTCGTTTACGTCGGCTGCTGGCGTCGGCTAGCGTCGGTTACGTCGGCTGCTGGCGTCGGCTAGCGTCGGTTACGTCGGCTGCTGGCGTCGGCTAGCGTGGGTTATGAAATCAATGAGATGTCACATGAAATTTTTAATTGAATGTTTAAAGCGTCTATTGCGAGAATTTTCCAGTATTTTCCCCACTTTCATGATACCTACCGTTATTGCTGAGTAACAGCAATTGTCTAGAGTAACGATAAAATGTCTTTGAACCTTCGTATTCACCAAATACAATGAAATCATGCACGATTACAATTTTGCGTTCTGTTTCTGTTTACCGTTGCCATCTCTCGAATTTTCTCGCGGTAGCGCGAGACATCTATCACGGTGCAGCAATGCATACCACGCACCGTAGAAATCAGGTCAGAGTGTAAACACAGACGTTCATACTAGCGTAACAGCAGTGTAGAACTAATGCCACGTAAAGTCTGTTATTAGAGAAGCTTGTGGATTGCCAGTCAGATAGTAACACTGGAATGACAATGACAGAAAGTGCTCTGAATTATTGACATAAAAACTCAATAATATTTACCAAACAGAATTGCACGCCCTTTTGTTTTAATTATGTTCGCTTGGTTGAGACGCCATTTGTGATTTTTGAGAGTCGTGACACGATAAAATTTATTGCTGGTATGATGTGGTTAAATCAGTGTTTTATAATGCTATAACTGCATAAAATCTTGGTGTTTTGAATGTTGGTATAATCAGTGATATTTCCACTGTCAGGTGAGACTATATTCAGCTATATTTCGCAATAATCACTTTAACCTCTGCACGTCTTTTCAGCACGTTTTCTGTGCTAACACGAATTTTCCTGCGCTGCGTTTTAGTGAGTGTATACAATGCACTGTCACATGATTATAACTAAAGAGATCTATTCATGGGTTCGTCGATATTTTGTGTCAAATAAGGATTCATATACACAGCCATGCAGGTGCGCACGGCGAGTGATGCATTCCATACACACACGCGTGCGCGCGCGCTCGACGATGGATTCTACAGCGGCTGGTAAACGCACTCCGCGCGGGCGGGCACACGACACACCTCCCTCCCGCCACCTCTCCCTCTCTCTCCCCATCCTCGCCGCCGCTGCCGCAGACGCGCGGGCGTGTGGGTCGACTGTATATATAGTGATACGGATTCCTGACATAATCAGCCGATCAGCAGCTACCGCACCACGTGACGGATGTCAGCGCCAATCGGCTGGGCGTGGGTAATGCGCGAGGCGACATCTCGCGGATCGACGAGTAACGATAACGCAAAAGTAATATTCGTCGCCAATCTCTGCTTTACTGCCGTGCGCGTGTTTATTATTCTCCGTATCGAAGTTTCATTCTATTGCCCGTGAATATCGAATCGGGGTGTGTGCATGGGATGGGGTGGGGTCGGGCGGGGTGGGGTGGGGGTGGGGCTTGGCATGTCTGCGCCCATGCGATTGTGTATACAGGACGGCCGCGTTTCCACCAAAGCCAAGAAAGCTCATTAGAAATCTAGAATTAAAAATTAAAAATATAAAGAATTTTTGTGAGCAATCAGATAATGCATTTATTTTTCGCTCCTTAACAGAATACGGATTCGTTGTACTACGAATTTCATGCATTAGTTGCTCGAAATTTAAAATTCGAATGAACTTTCCTGGCTTTCGTACGTTACAGTGACTTCGGTACTTCGGCGTGTATGATTTCTCTTTGTGAGACTATATGAGTAAACTTGTTTCGTTGTGGGAGTATCGGATGAAACAATAAAATCCACTTTTAGTGATATCAAGAAACCGTGTCATCATGCGGACCGCTCTCTCACTTTCTCTTTCATAATATATCGTTTAAGGACGTAGTTATCGTATGTTTCTTTGCTGGAAGAATACGATATAACAGATAAGAGCGATAGAAACAACAGATATCTCGAGAAACAAAATTAACGATATGCAACACATCATTTGTGAGAAACAGTTCAATCAGGAGCATGATGTCATGGCAGGTTTTATGTGACTAACGTATTTTACCATCTCACACCGTGTTACCTAGCTCCAATAAGGTGTGTACTCGTTTCAATCTCTCTTATCCTCTTTGCATTCTCGTCGCGTAGTCAGACGCCGAAATATTCGCAACTTGTATTACAGTCACCGTCCACACCCATCGATTGGTGTGAGCGCTATATATCTCAATATATATATATATATATATATATATATATATATATATATATATATACTATCTAATATAACGAGGGGCAATGTGTTATAATATATCGGTGGTTAAGTGAATCGGTAAGCTCGGTGCTGCCACTCGCTGGTGATCTATGTCTCACATTCTCACGCACGCGCTCTTCTTGGACACTCTGCATGGGTGATTACGAGTGGGTTACGCGCATTTGTAGCGAAAGCAGATTCTTGCTCACATGCATGCATAGTGCGTTCCGGCTACGCTACGATCTCGGTTGTAATGAATAATTAGTAGGACGACCTACAATCGATTGCCGTGTAGGGATGCGTTATTGACAAATATATTGTACTTAGTCTGTATCGTATATTTTTAGTAAACGCAATTAAATTAATATCAGACTATTCTTCCTGCATTCTGTTGTATAGGCGACGCCAAATGAATATATGACGACAGAACATGATACATATAATAATAAACGAAGTGTGATGCGTTGAAAGCAGACACAGCTCACCTGCTATTATATAAGTGGTTTCTTTTTTATTTTTCACCGTCATTTGACAGTCGTTTTATTTTAACGCGTTCTTACTCACCGCTCGACATTCTAACGCCTGTTCCGCATAGTTGCTATAGGATTATACCGCGTTGATAGCTACGAGGCGGTGGTGGTATGCTCTCGGGTAATAAATTCTAACGTATGAAAACCCCGCTAATTCATAGGTTCACCTCTATAGTTCTATGCCGTATTAGCGTATCATGCCTATATTGAAAAAAAGTTATTTCGACTATATCCGCCGTAGAGTATATACACAAGATAATATTTGAAAAAAATAATAAAGAGTCGAAACTTTTGTATGAGGTTGAGTATAAGGTAATAAAGCAATGAATTATATTTTTCAATTGCTGTTATCAGTTACATTACACCAACGGATTATCAGTTAAAACCGGCTGATGTTTGCCAAGGAGATGTGTACAATATTCCAGTAAAATCTACACACAATGCTTACGACATATAATGTAAACCCATTGAACTACGACTTCGAAAGAGCGATAATACCTAACGATAATCTAAATTGGCCGTGGAAATCATTCGTATGTGTTACGTATTATGCTGCGATATATATATACATATATATATATATATATATCTTATAAAATAGCCCTGTTTTTCCGATTTTTGACAAAAAGGTCCGCCATTGCAAATGGCGGTTTTGTTAAGGAACAAGGGCGCCGCCTCCGGCAGAAAAGTATAGCACGCGCAAGCATCGGTGCGTTAATCCCGTCCTGTTTACGACACGTGCGGTTGGCCGCTCCAATTTGCAACATCGGGGTAATGTCGTCGATCGTTTGGATGGTGTGTCAGCGCGCAGCGATCGGAAATGATTGCTCGATCAATTAAAGGAGAGAATAATTACGCGATAGTATAATTATAGGCGAATGAAAGAAGAAATTGGCCGGAGGCGAAGGAGAGGTATTCTTTCGTGAAACGCATTGCTAGAGGCGTGTACTGTTAGTGCTAGCGATGTTTGCAGATTTTTCAAGTGTTCGTTTGTAGATGTGGTTTTTAGGATTCTTTTTGTTTTTGTTTTTGAGTAGTTGTGTTGTTTTAGATTGTTTCGGTATGCTTAAGTGGGATGTTTCTTGGTGTTGGGGGGCATTTACGATAAATTTGTCTGTTAGCATTCGTGAGTACTTGTCGGAATTTGCAGTATTGGCGTATAGCATAGACCTATAGACATAACATAGCATAGCATAGTATAGTGTAGCGTATTCTCTCATTCACGTACTCCTGATGTAATATTATTATATATTATATTATATTATAGTATAGTATAGTTATTTTTATTATATTATGTCATCTTATGTCATGTCATGTCATATCACAACATATGATATCATTTTATATTATGTTATATTATTTCTTAATATGATACATTATATGATATTATAATATAGCACAGTACATTATAGTATAGTGCAGTACAGTGCAGTAAGGTGCAGTACAGAACAGTACAGTACAGTACAATGTAGCACAGCCAAAGACAGTGTAGTGTAGTATGGTGTAGTATAGTGTAGTGCAGTGCGTGTCACGTCGCATCGCGTAACATAGCATAGCATGATATGCATAGCATAGCATATTAAGGTGCATGTGCCTGCACGCGGACTATATGGCCACACGCGGAGCCTCTACTAGGCTCCCACTGCAGCGTCTCTGATTAGATGAGCAAGCAAATGACTTCCTACGAGTCATAAATGAGCCATCGAGCTCCCCCTCCCCACTCCTGATTACTCACGCACACGCACACGCGCGCGCATGCTGAGAGAGGTCTGCTATAACGACCCGGGGAAATCACTTGAGGTTGCTAGCAGCGCGAGTATAGGCACCCTCCCCCCACGTGCGCGAAAGAGAAGCTTCCTCAGCGTCTGCATCTCGCCGATGACGTCAGCGTTCGCCGCAAGGCGATCGACAGTGGCTTCCGACGTGACGCGTAATTTGTGACGTCATAACGAGAAGCGGAAGCGTTCTGAATAAGAGCGAGTGGGGGGAAGAGGGACAAAGGTAAAGGAGGCGGTTGAGAGTGAAGCAGTAGAGGAGGAAAAAAGGGGAGTAAGAGCAGTCATGGATGGAGGAGGTGGGGGAGGAGGAGGAAGCAGGTGGTGTAGGAAGAGGAGGCGACAAAAAGGCAGTGAAGAAGAGAAAGATATTTAGGCAAGGCAAAGGAGGAGGAGAAGAATGAAAGGAGGTGAATAAGGACGGAGCAGGGGAAAACGGGGGAGTGCCGACCGTCAGAATAACAGACGAATTAGCAGATGGGTGATGGTAGGTTGCGCCACTGGCGCCGAGGAGAAGAGTGTAACATCACGAGCACAGATACGGTGGTGCAATCTTCGATTCACGAAGCTGCAGATACGCCACCCTCAACGATAACTCTCCAATCCCCGTGAAATGTTTTGTCAAGGTGTTAAGGGGAACACGGTGGACAGATGGAGGAATGGCGTGAGAATGAATGAATACGCTCAGCTGCCACCACACAAAACCACAGCGAAACTCACATCATCAGTCTCCAAAAAAATCTCAATATGGAAATAGAGTTTATTACGTTTGTCGTGACAATGTATGTAATGTGTACAATGTAGATATAAACCCGACAGGTGACAATGTATATATAAGCCGGATAGGTGACAATGTATATATTTGTATATATATATATGTATATATATATATATACATATATAAGCTGAAGAGGTACGTGACGTAATTTGACTCTTCTTCGTCTACTGCCTTATTACTATATACGCCATAAGAGTATATCCCACACGCAGCATATCACTTACTCACCGTGCAAAGTATGCACGCACCTAGCAGGTGGCTGAGGTAGCCGAGGAAAAGAATTTAGCAACCTCATCACATTTTCTAACGTTCACATAGCGAGACCCTTAAACCGTAATCAGGGCCGGACGGATATACAATGAGAAGATCTATTCGGACGTTTTGTATGTAACACTCGATAAAAAATATTGCAATCATTGTTTAGAGTTTCGATCTCGCTTCTCTTTTACAAACGTATAACTGTACACACCCTGAAAGAAACCTCATATAATAAAAACTTTATATACCGAGTCGCTATACGTACACACGTACACATGAGTATTAATTAACATACGATTGCTCGCGTAAAAATATAAAATGCTTAAATGTGTAAACAATTACATTCGTCCGAATCAGCAGAGTTGAGTCTAATAGTGCGACAAGGTTCCTTCTTCGTATATACGATAACGATGAAGTGAAACATTACAGTACAGCATAGATACCGTGACATAATGACATTAAAAATTGGCATATTGCTATTAGCTTGATTAAAAGTGTATCATCATCCATGCACCGTCACCAAATGCGTCGATATTTCTATCATTGTCTTGCGTTAGGCTCAAGTTTTTCACGACGTTCACTTAAAATACCAACCACTTACGGAACTAGTCTACGCATTTATGCTGCAACGTGTAGCCCATAGATCTTACAAGCAGTTTACAGTTACGGACGTCAATACAACACTAGTACGGACGATATTACCATCGCCTACCTCTAAATTATTACGAAACAAGTAAATCACAACGAGTACACACTCACCTCGAGTTAACTGAGGATAAGGATGTTGTGTTGCGTGTGTTCACGACCGAATGTTCTCCTTTGAAAACTTACTGATGATTCATGATTCACAATTTCGAACATAACATACAATCGCCCTTTTATATACATGTATATGTCATCCTAAGCATGCTACGCGTTTAAAAAAAGATCATAACAATAAATCAACGCAAAGTCTGAGATGTAAATGTTTGTGAGTTATGAACGTACATCCGTACCTACGACAGTCTGACATGTCTAAACCTTAACTTTCATTCTACACAATGCCGTGCCTATGCATATTTATACATGCATGTATAAAATACATATGCACTATGATATCTAGACACTGCTTTACTATTCATCCATGCATCCTGCTGCACGGAAAATAGGACCGTATAAAATCCTGCCAAAATAACATGTAGTATATATTTATATATGTGCCAACAGATAACGCGTGTAAACATATTCTTAGGTTAGAAATGAGACTAATATGCGCGTATTCGATTAATCTCTATTCGTGAGCTGAGGTCGAGAGACAACAGCAACTAAGACGTCGCCCACGAGCAAATATCTAAACATGCAAGTTAGAAAATGACACCATAGATGTCATTTCTTCCTGCATAGATCTAGAGGTAATCACCTCAATGCTACGTACGGTTGCGAAGGTTGTGCGAGATAGAGAGATACTACATCAGGTTCGACCATGTTCGTTCGCCAACAGATTTCCCGCGTCGATTACGTTTAGGACGATGAATGACGAACACGGCATCTTCTCGCGAAATCTCGCGAATTTTATTAACTAACAGCAAGATGGGCCGGCGGCCGGGCAAGAATCGAAGCGACAGCATTACAATCGATGAGCTTCTAGATTATCATTTACAGATCGAAAGCAGGTAACATTCAGGTGCGTAATGCAGGCTTCGCTCCTATCTATGAGTAAATGCAGACTTAGGCAACAAATTTCGCGACCAGGGCAAGCAGCAGAGTCGTGGACAGCGTAGCCGCCATGCCCATCGCTCCGTTGTAGTTCAGGTCCCAGTTTTCGTAGAGAACTCGGTCGATAATGTAGATGTAGCCGTTGGTCATCGCCATTCCTTGCAGCGTGATGGTAGCCTCGATCTCCCCAAGGCGGACGGACCACACTAGAGAGCGAACGCAACGCCATCCGGTGTTAAAACATGTGTTAAAATTGCGGGTAAATGTAACTAGGGGGTGCCGCACGAGGTACACTCGCCAATTCGGCTGCTGTGTTTATGACGTGACGTCATGACTCGTTGGTAAAGTTAGTAGTTATCGCCAATACGGGAGAACACCACACGGATATAAATAAACAGTACAAACAAATAAATAAAAACATGCCATCATCACTCGACTCAAACGCAGAAGAGTTACGCGAGTTTGAACATATGGCTCAGCAATCTGTGGTTATCAATGATTCGATAATTAATCGATCTCGATTGTCTTACATTTAACTTTGATCAATTTCCATTCGTTAATCAATTAATCGACTGGCGCCAATGAGGAAATCGTCGATTGGTATGCAGCCGAAAAATACGTGTTCCGCGCAAGCCTAACAACCTAACCCACGTAGGATTAAGAAGATTCGCTGGACAAAACCTGTTTAAAGACACTTCCGATTATCTTCAGTCGCCTCTTGCTGGAGACATAGAGATTAATGTGTAGGAGTAAAACAAGATTTACCACAACACATGCTGCAGAAACTCGCGCAACATTACCTCAACGATCGAAGCGAAGAAGACAGATAAAAGCTGCTTACTGTTTCTGTTGTACCCGTCCTGGCGGAGTGTGATAGTTTTTCCGTTGACGGTACCGAGGTGGACATTATTGTAGAGGTCATCCAAGGACAAAACCTGACCTCTGACGAGGTGATTCTTGATGACCTGTCGATGTAGATCCGTATAAACGTGTTGTGTCAGACATGTGTCAACATTAGAGATGTTTCTGCAATTCTAGACGAATATAACATCGTCGCTTCATCCACCAGAAGAAATGGTTTACAAGCGAGAATTTGGTAGAATCGTGTTATTGTCGCTGTATTATTGGTATGGCGACGTGATGTGTGTGTATGCGTGCGTGCGTGCGTGCGTGCGCGCGCGTGTGTATGTGCGTGCGTCCGTGTGTGTGACAGTGAAATATAATATCATGCTAATACAATCCGTGAACGTGCTGGAAAACACTATATCGCATGCTACGTTACGCTATACGATATACGTCGTACTAGGCGCGAATACAAACAATTTTGCTAAACACGAAAACTTCGTTCGTGTTTTCATTCACGCCTCGTTACAACAACGGTACAGGATCCGATTACGAGACATAATACGTCACGCGGCGCGCACGGCGCGATTGGCTACAGCGAGTGACGTCATCAACTCACGTGACCGAGGACGAGGTTGCTGGTGGTGATGATGCTAAAGTCGTTGTAGTTGCGGCTGTAGATGTCCTGCCACGCGTCGTTGCTCATCGCAAACATCGTGAATCGCTCGTACTCGGCTGACAGCATGTTACGCAGATCGTAGCCTGTCTTGTCGATGTATCGCTCCAGATCGCTGATGGTCCGGAACACGAAAAGAGATCGAGTCTTAAAATTTCTCAGAATTCATACACGTGTTCCTTTGCCAAGATGTGGGCGATAGTAAGGACGGGGTTGTAGCCTAAACAGGCTGTTGGGCAGGGGATAAAATTTCATGATACAGATGAGTAATGATGAGGGGATCGCAGATCCTAGTAAATGTGCACGGTGAGGCGAGGTGGTTTATTGTTTTTGTTCTTCACTGTTGCTGTTGTTGTTGTTGTTTTTGTTGTTACATTCTGTTCTCGCAGGCGAGAGGGAGGAGATTGAGAATGAGGGTGAGGATAAGGATACAAATAAAAATGATGAGAATAAGGATGATGCTGATGATGCTGATGATGCGTCTGCTGATGATGATGGCGACGACGACGATAGGGATGATCATAAGGACGGGGATGATGTTGAGGCTGAGGAAGATGGGAGGACGCTGCCTGGGATGATAGAATGGAGGGTATGTGGTTATTATAACCTGTCGTTACCTCAGCATTGGGTCTTCTTCAATCTTCTGCCAGATCGTCTGGTAGGGAAATCCGAGGATAGAATCTACCAGATGTATGACGCCGTTGCTCGTTCCCAGGTTCTGCTGGAGAACCTCGGCCCACACTCCGTTACCGTTCACGTACCACGCTGAGAGTGGAGAGAGACAACGAAACACCGGTCATGCTCGCATCATGATATCCAACACGTTAGTGACATGCCGCTGCAGTCACCAGCGCAGTGGAGGAGAGTATTCTTATCTTATACATCGCATTGACATCTAAGGGCGCTTATTCGATCAGAGAAAGGCAGACAGATAGAAAGAGAAAGAAAGATGGAGAGAGAAAGAGATAGAAAGACAGAGAAAGAGGGAGAGACGAGAGAGAGAGAGAGAGAGCGAGAGAGAGAGATAGTGAGAGAGCGCCACAGACACGAGCGACCCCTGGTGACTGTCCCGAGACTCTCGGCGCGTGTCACCATACACTTACTCTTGGCCGTGCCGTTCTGCATGATCATGAATCGTATTTGTTTGTAATTGCCGCCTTGGCCGCCAATCTGCTGCTGTTGCGGCCGCTGCTGCTGAGGCCTATCCCTGTTCTGATCATTCTGGTCTCTTCCCTGATTATCGCGGTCTTGATCGTAGTTGGGATCGTAGTCGGACGCGTAGCTGGTTTGCTGAATACGCGGGCCTCCGCCGACAGGGAGCGTTGTGTCAAGCGTCGTGCTGTTGTCCTGGTTACGCAGGTAGACGCGCCCAAATGCCATGTGAAGGCGCACCAACTACGAGGAGAGAGATGTAGTTCTATGTTAGTTTGTCTCTCGCGTGCCGATGTAAGCGCACACGTACACACACGCACACATACACGCGCACGCACGCACACGAACACACATGCGCGCACGCAAACACAAGCGCGCACGCGCACACACGAACACACATGCGCGCACGCAAACACAAGCGCGCACGCGCACACACACACACACACACACACACACACACACACACACACACACACACTCTCTCTCTCTCATCTCTCTCTCACACACACACATATTCATACGCACACGCGCACCCCCCCCCCCATACACGCATATGTACACGCACGCACGCACCCCCACCCAACACACACGCACATGCCAACACCTGTTAGTGTAACATGCGTGAAAGCATGCGAGTAATAGTTAGCGCTATGCGTGTGCACGTACATCAGCGACTCGCTGCTCGTCCCGCAGTAGATCGGTGAGCTTCTGAACAGGAATCTTCTCAAAGGCAGCGTTAGATGGCACGAACATCGTCATGTCCTGAGTTCGCAACTGGTCGCGGAATTCCTTCATGTAGTTCTTCACGAGTATCTCCGTCCAGAGTTTGCTGCAAGCGGACACAGCGCGCGCGTGAGCGTCAGTATGTTATGTAACAGGCAGGGGCGTAGCTAGAGTGAAATGGATGTGTACCCACACAGGCGGGGGTTCTGGGGGTCCTCCCGCAGAAAATGTTGAAAATGTTGATAGCAGGAGATGGTATTTTAGGCACTTTTGAGTAAATGTACATGCCTTCATCTGACTACATACGACAATTATTTTTTAGTAGAACTATTCTCTTCATGAGCAAACAAGATGTGATCACTAAGACTCACTATAACTAATCATGTAATTTTCGTTTTATTATCAAGACATGTTGTGAACTAACGCCACATTCTAAACTCTCTCTTTCTCTCTCTCTCCTCTCTGCGTGCGTGCGTGCGTGCGTGCGAGCGTATGCGTGTGCGGGTGCGTGTGGGGCGCGTGGTGTGTGTGTTAAACAAATTTAGTCTGACTGACTGACTCTCTCTCATCTCTCTCTTCTCTTCTCTTACTCGCCATCTCTCTCTCTCTCTCTCTCTCTCTCTCTCTCTCTCTCTCTCTGCCCCCTCTCTCTCTCTCTCTCTCTCTCTCTCTCTCTCTCTCCTCTCTCTCTCTCTCTCTCTCGCTTTCTCTATCTATCTCTCTCACTCTCACTCTCACTCTCACTCTCACTCTCACTCTCACTCTCACTCCTCACTTCTCACTCTCTCACTCTCTCTCTCTCCCTCTTCTCTCTCTCTCTCTCTCTCTCTCGCCTCTCTCTCTCTCCTCTTCTCTCTCTCTCGCTCTCTCTCTCTGCAATAAAAAAAACGTTTGGTGAAATGATGTGTACGCAACTGCATATCTGCGTTATGGTAGCTACGCGCCTGACAGTAGGTGACAGCCACTAACACCACCATTAACACACTCACTAACACAACCAGTAACGCCACCACTAACGCCACCACTAACATGGCCCCTGAAGCCACCACTATCACTTCTCATCCTCCTCACCAGCGCGCACGTAGGCGCCCGCCCACCATCCCGCCCACCCGCTCGCCTGACTTACGTCATGTTGCGGTGCGTCTGGATCGTCTCCTCCGTGTTGCGGTAGATGTAGCCGAGCACATTGTCAACGATGTGCACGACGCCGTTGTCGACGGCGATGTTGGGCACGACGACGCGCGCGTACACGTCGCCCTCCATCATGCCGGCCGTCGACGACGCCAGGCTCGTGGCGACGTAAACTACAGCAGGCAAGACGACGCGATCAGTAACTATGACGACATATACACATATCAGTAACCATGACAATTTTTCACACGCATCGGTAATCGTGACAATTTATACACGCGTTCGCAACCCGCCATGACAACACACGTCAGTAATCACGGCAATATAAACACATCGATAAACATAACAAAACATCTATCGGCAAGACACGACAACACGCGAATAAGTACCCATAACAATACATAAATCAGTAACCGTACTAACACACAAGCACATAGTCTACATAACCATAATGTGACAAGGTCTACAGCAGTGCAGACGATACATATACACCAGTAACCACGACGATACATATTATCAAGAGCATATAAACCTTCTTTATATGCTCTTGATATTATCAAGAGTCCATAATAGAAAATTTATTTCTAGTATGAACTCTTGATATTAAACAGCAGCAAGTCTCGCGCAAGGAGAATGTTGCGGATAGCTTCAGATGCTAACAGGTTCCTTTCTCTAACAGGTGTGAAGCTGAATGGACGGCAGTGTGCCTGCCAGCATGCGGGAAACATTAGCTTCGTCGATGGTTATCACAAAGCCGATTCGTTATGTCAGCGTGCGAGAAAAATTACCGCCAGATTGCGCCACCGTGCTCCATGTTCGTATCTCGAACACTTGTTGCGAGTATCGATCGACAAGACTAGATAGAAACACTGTATCGAAACATCATTAACGAGGTGCTATATTATATATCGCATGAATTATTTAAACGCCTATATCAACGCAGCATCACGGGCTGTAGTTACACCGCCAGCTGGTGATGGTTGGAATTCGCAATGATCCCTCGAATGTTTAACGTGGAATGTAAAAGGAAAACTCTGCCATGTTCTCTAAAACGTTTTTACTCGGTCGTAAGAGGTCAAATTTGGAATGTTTCGTAGAATGTTTCTTCCCCAAATATGCGATAGTACACCGATATTACCCGCATGCAGCCATACAATACACAACGCACAAATACTATACTATGATGCGATATAGGCCTACAAGACAAAAATGTTATACGATTACACGATATACAATACATAAATACTATGTGATCATACTATATACAACACAAATATAATACGGTTATACAATATACACCCGACACATATAATACGATCGTACAACATACAACACACAAATAATATACAATCATACAACATACAACATACAAATATTATACGAGCATACAATATACAACACAGAAATATTATATGATTATATAATATTCAACACACAAATATCATATGATTATACAATATTCAACACACAAATATTATACAAGCATACAATATACAACAGACAAATATTATACCATTATACAATATTCACACTATAAGCTGTAGACAATTACGAGCAGCTGCACACTTACATTCTACAGGAATGTTTTCGGTGATGTTTCCACGCGTGTCGAAGTGTAGCTTCACTCGGTCCGATGTTGAGTAGCCATCGTACGTTTGACTCTTCTCGAAGTTGTTCGAGAAGACAACGTAGCCCCTGATCATGTGAGCTTGCAAGATCTGAAAGATCATTTAAGCTCATTAATCGCAATACATTAAAAATTTTAGTTTTTTAAGAGAGAGAGAGAGAGAGAGAGTGAGAGGGGGAGACAGAGAGAGTGAGAGGGGGAGACAGAGAGAGTGAGAGAGGGAGACAGAGAGACAGAGAGACACAGAGAGAGAGAAAGAGAGAAAGAGAGAGAGAGAGAGTGAGAGGGGGAGACAGAGAGAGAGTGAGAGGGGGAGACAGAGAGACAGAGAGACACAGAGAGAGAGAAAAAGAGAAAGAGAAAGAGAGAGAGAGAGAGAGAGAGTGAGAGAGGGGGGTGGTGGAAGGGGAGGAGGAAACAGAGACAGACAGAGAAACAGATAGACATAATGATAGAAATATAGAGAGAAAGAGAGATAGAAAAAGAGTAGAGGAAAAAGAGCGAGCGAAAGAGAGAGACACACACAGAGAGAGAGAAAGAAAGAAAGAGAGAGAGAGCGAGAGAGCGAGCGAGAGAGAGAGAGAGAGAGAGAAAGAGAAAGAGAGAGAGAGAAAGCAAAGAGAGCAATCTTCTCTTCGCTTCTCGTAGACCGCCGTGGACATTGACGACTACATTGCTTCAATGGGCGCTGTGCTTTTCCGGGTGAGTTCGTCAGCCTTACATATAGACGCCGTGCTACCCACGGCTCCATTATATATATTAGGTGTCAACGGAAGCAAATTTAAGTAAAGGGTATTTCTCAAGGGCACGACAGCGGTGACCAAGGAGGCAATTTGAACGATGGGACCGTCAACAGAAAGTTCCGAGTGCTAACAGTGTATGGCGTATGAACTTGCAGGAAATCGATCTAGATCATTAAGACGAGAGAGCGAGGCGGTACGGCGACTAGGCGGGCGCAAATTGCTGTTTTATTACCTACCGGAAAGGTGTCGTATATGAATGCAACTACGTGGGTATCGGTACCGTCTCTCGTTCCCGTTGTTTAAACAAGGTTTAGCATTAGCATTTTGTTGCAGTCAACCGCGCTGTCTTATATGAACGTAGCTACGCGTACATTAAATGCACGCTCGAGTTGCTGGCGTCTTACAATATCTCCGCTAGTATGATAATATTAGTGTCTGGCTCAACGCAAATTCTATAAATTATGTAGCTATTCGCATGTACGCGTTTTCTTTATATAACTATTGTGTAGTATATATTTATATATATATATATAGAGAGAGAGATATTAAGATTAGATTAATACAAATATTTAGTTATATGTATATATTTATTTCATTATCGGTTTATTCATATTTAGCACGCGCTTACCCTCTCGAACAGGCGACTGTCTTGCACCAGCAGGTTCCTCTGCTCGGACGGGATCTGATTGAATGCCTGGTCGTTCGGTAGGAACATCGTGTACTTCTCCGCAGCTCCCTGCGGCCCGAAGCTAGGCTGGAACGCCGGCTGGAAATCTCTGGGCGGCTGCTGGTTTGGTTGAATTCCAGGTTGGAAGACGCCCTGCTGTTGTTGCGGGGGTCGTCTACCTGTCTGCCCGCCGGGCTGGAAGCCGCCCTGGCTGGGATTAGGGTCGAATCCTCCGGGCTGGATACCTCCCGGTAACAGCCCCTGTTGAGGGCGTCCCTGCTGTGGGTTCCCTTGCTGAACGCCTCCCGCCTGCACGCCGCCGGGCTGGAAGCCCCGACCGGCGTTGCCATAAAGACCGATGGAGCTTTTGCCGGAGACACTCTGGTCGAGTAGGACCTGCATGCTCTGCGGCATGGAGCGAAGCTGGCTGAAACATGGCCATGCAGTAATGGGCGTTAGTTCGGTGGGGATGCACGCACCTAAACATGCACGTACGCGCATGTATACTCACACACATACACACACGCTCATATGCGCACGCACTTGCACGCACGCACGCACAGGCACATGCACACACACACACACACACACACACACACACACACGCTCACATGCGCACGCACTTGCACGCACGCACGCACAGGCACATGCACACACACACACACACACACACACACACACGCGCACGCACGCATGCACGCGCACACACACACACAGTTAGACACGAGAGAACGTGTTCGCATGCTTATTACAGGATAAGATCATCAGGCGTGTGTCACAGTTATAACCACGCGGAGTGAAAGACTCACGTCAGCTGATACTCGGTGTAGAGGTTGCGCGGGTCTCTGACGAGTCCCCAGATGGTTTCTCCAACGCCGGGAGGGCTGAGCACACGGTCGATCTTATGCAGCACACCGTTGAGTGAGGATATCTCAGGCAGCAGCACCCTCGCTTGATTCACGTGTACTATCTATACACACAGACACGGACCGAGATGAAAGTCACCCGCATTACTATACTTTATATATATTAATACGTTTATATGACACACACACACGCACTTAATATATACATATATATATATATCGTACATGTTCTGGCTTACACAAGAGACCGTTTAGCATCTCGATCAGAAGGAATGATGTACTCGCTACACGAATATGTACATATATAACGATCAATTATGCATTATATATAGATATATATATATACAGACATCATACACACACGCACGCACGCACGCACGCACGCACGCACGCACGCACGCACAAACACACGCACATACATACACACGCACGCACATACATACACAGACACACACACACACACACACACACACACACACACACACACACACACATGCACACACATCCGCTTGGCACGAATATGATTACTCGTACTTAATCAGCAAAAGAATCAAATTCCTGTAAACGACTTTGTAATTTTGTTTTGCGTCATCGCTCCGCACAATCGGTACGCGCAGCAGCAGGAGTAGCAACATTAACCCCAGTAGAAGACCGCAGCACCAGCAACGGCAGTGTTAACGCTAGCAACAGCACCGTCATCATCATCAGCAGCAGCGGCAGCAGCAGCATCAAACACCGCACGATCATACTATAGCGCATATTCAATAGGGCTCTCTCTCTCTCTCTCTCTCTCTCTCTCTCTCTCTCTCTCTCTCTCTCTAAACAGCTCTCTCTCTCTCTCACACACACACACACACACACACACACACACACACACATATATATATATATATATATATAGTCGGGTAAATGACGGTTGTAGCCCCGGGGTAATGTCAAGCATCGCGGCGCGCGCGTGTTTTATATACCTGCGAGGCCGTCTGACCGCCAAACTGTGTGAACTGCTGGCCAGGTATGAAGGGCGGATCGACGACCGTCATCCACACCGGAGCCGACTTCGGCGCCAGCGTGGCGAGGCTGAAGTTACGCTCTCGGTTCTGCATGAATCCTACGTGCGTGTACCTGTCGTTGACTGTGGAGGGAAAGTTTGGCGGTGATCGAGTGCGTTTCGGTTGCAATGGTTCGATAGAGGTGTGGTTGGAGTTTTTTTTTGCGAATTCGGTAACATTTACAGTAATTTAAATAGGGTCGGGTCGGAATTCGATGTGTTCGGTGTTTGGTTTCGGTGAATTTTTGTTTGAATTCGATGAGGTACAATATTTCTGGGATCACATATACGGTTGCTATAGGGCTCAATCGGCAGGTTTATGCGTAGGCCCTATATGTAGTTTATATATTATAATAGTCATGTGAGAGTGATTCATAGCTGATTCATGGGTGATTCATAGATGACAGGACAATCTGTAAGTGTCATCAGTCTTAAATCCGTGATATAGACCATAAATTCTGGCAAGCGTTAAATGTCTCAAGGTTGTATGAGTGTGCGTTATTATACTTTCTTACCGATCCTTACTTTTCTCCTCGGAAGCGTTACAGCTGTTACCTGTGCGAATTATATCCAGCTTAATGCCATTAACGGAAACGGCAGATGAGATTTCCAATTTGAATTTTTGTAGTATGAGCATGCTACTCATTATAATGGGTTGCTTTTCGTTGCTACAACACTCAGATATAGTTCAGTTTATTGGTTACGTAAGCATTAGTGTTCCTTATTACAATATAATTGCATTAGTTACGCGGAGTTGGATTACTTAATTTAACGTACAAAACGTACGTTTTGAAACGGCCGGTGTATACTAGATGGACACCAAAGCCGTTTGACCCTCGCAACCCATGACCATTGCAATGACGATGAGTCAGTCTATAAGCTACTGTTTAATAACAGCACGTGCGCGGAATGCGGACAACCCACGAGAAATAAAGACGATCGATGTGCTATTGTGCTTAAAATCAACGCTTATTGACTGACAAAACAATCGTTAAGATGACGTTGTACATTTAGAAACAGAAATCTCTCAGCATGGAGTTGAAAAATCTACGATCAACACGCATACAGTTCTGCCCTATGGTCAACATATAATCGCTGTAATCTATTAGCAAACCTCAATGGTCTCAATCTAGGATTAAACCCTAATGCAGTCAATATTATTATATCTATAATCAAACTTTAATACTCTCTAATTCTATGACGAAACGCTAATAACGTAGATCTATAATTGAACCCTATAGTCGTATAAATATAAATTTTAGTCCTAATACAGTTTAAATATATAATTGAGCGTTTATTAAGTTAAAATCTAATATAAAGCCCCAACAGTCTAAATCTATTATCAACCCCTACTAAAACAGTCTAAAATCGATGATCGGACCCTAATAGTGACGTAACTAATCTCTGTGATGACATGATAGACATGGTCGATGACGTCACGCTTTACGTCGCATTCCACGGGTAATGCTATCCCTCGGGCGTGGAGGGAGGTGACCGCAACGTGGCAGCACTAGTGTTAGGATTAGGGTTAGGGTTAGGGTTAGGGTTAGAGATAGGGTTAGGGTTAGGGTTAGGGTTTTTGTATCATGATATCTGTCCCCACACCATAGATTAATTTTTGTGGATCCCACCACCTATATATAGCGCTCCGATATATATATTTTTAGTGTTGTGGTTATCGTTGGAGGTGTTGGAGTTAGCGTTACCGGATGAGTAATGATTTTGAAGTATACGTCAACTATATCACGTGACCCTCCCTCCACGCCCGGGGGATAGCAACACCCGCATTCCACAAGTTAAAATCAACAATAGGCGTGTTTGAATAATAGGGGGCCCCGGAGGGGGTTGGAGGAAGAATTAGATAAGAACTCACGCAGGTGGTAATTCCACGTTCGCAAACTGTCCAGTCCGCGGCCATCGTTGTTGTTCTCCTTCAGGTATCTCTCGATAGCTTCGTCCGTGGGTGCGAACACCGTGTACGTGTACCCAGTCTCAGAGAGCGCATTCTTCAAGTACTTCTGCGCGAAACCCAAGAACTGGAAGAGGAAATTAAAAAGTAGCGATTAGGAATTAGTTTCGGTCGACGCCAGTTTTTTGGATTCGGTTTTATAATTTGTATACAACCGGTCTTTATCATCGCTTGGTCAAACTTTTAGACTTTCAGATTAGTTTATGGTGAAGCCGTAACGAGTAGAGCGAAGCTACGATTAGATTCATATTGCGCCCGGAGCGCCATTTGTAATGTCCCACGTATGGCATTTATACATCGGCCTTCATCTTTATTTTCGTTGAGGGTTTGAGTTATCTTTACGTGGCCAGCGTGCCTGACATAATCCTTTATGTATATAAAGTCATGTAACTTTACGTTCTTCTGTCGCCAGTGTAAACGGGTTTTTTGTTGTGTTAGTTGTCTCTCTGTTGTGTCTCCCAAAATCACGATTTGCCCAGAATATTAGACTTTAAAACTGCACTTAGCTTAGCAGAAAACTTAACAATTTCACAAAGATTGCGAAATTTCTACATAAACTTCCTTTACGTGCACGAGTTTGCGATGCGACAGCCGCGATCCTTTGCTACGTTTTACGCAGCGGTTACCGCAATCCTCTAGAAATTCGGAAAGTTTTACAAGCTCACATGGAAGGGCATGGATGAAAAGATCTACGTATGACCTCACTGGCATTTAACGCTGCACGTACGGTGCTGGTAACGCTGCCGCTCCTCACGAATACCAATCCTATTTGGATTCGTTTTCGTACATCCTACACGCGAACCGGAATACGTACATAGCCAAGTAAATTCTCGTTGGGGGTGACTAGCACAATAACATGCACGCGGACGCTGAATGACATGACATTGCTGGTGCGCATGTTATCGTGGACACAATGCAGCGCGCTATATGATAGGTCGTTACCACCGTGACGCGACCAGCGATTAAAAACCGGAATGCAATACGCCGGACAACTCCCTCAACTCTCCTCCTCTCCCCGTCGCTATGCCTGTATCTCCTTCGTGCATCTATTTTTCTTTCCGCTGACTTCACCTTATCTCCTCTTTCCACACTCTCTCTCGGTCTATACTCTCTTTTCAACTTGTCACTCGATCTCTCTCCAACGCTTTGTTTGTGTATGTTACCATCTCGCTTTCTCTTGCCATGTATCTCATTCTCTCTCCTTCTCTCGTCTCTCTCCCTATATCTATCTCCCCTCGCAGTCCGTCTGTTCGTCTGTTCCTTTGCCTGTCTACGTGTCTGTATGTATCTCATTCTCTCTCTCTCTCTCTCTCTCTCTCTCTCTCTCTCTCTCTCTCTCTCTCTCTCTCTCTCTCTCTCTCTCTCTCTCTCCATCGACCTGTCTGTCTTTCCTCACGTGTGTGAACAGGACAAAGAGAATACAGACGCAACAGAGCGAGGGACTGGCACGAGGGGAGATAAGATAGTAGGTGGTGGAGGATGGGATGAGACGACGAGAAAGAGGGAGAGAGAAATGAGATAACATGGCAAGGAGAAGCGAGATGCGTAGAGCGATACACAAAACCAAAAGGCGTTGGAGAGAGATCGAGTGTATGCTAAGTTGAAGAAGTAGAATATAGCAGAGGACCGGAGAGAGTGTGAAAGAGGAGATAAAAGAGAGAGTCAGCGGAAAAGAAAAATAGATGTCACGAAGGAGAAGCAGGAAAAAACAAAGATAACAGGAATAGGGAGAACACAAAAAATAAAAAAGGAAAGAAGAAAAGAAGAAGAAAAAAAAGAAACAGAACAAACACTGAAATAAAGGGAGGAAGAAAAAAAAAAAAAAGAAAATAAAAACAACATAGCGATGCGGGAGAGAGAAGAAGTCGAGGGAGTTGTACGGGCGTATTGGGACATCCGGTTTTTTAATCGCCTGTCCGCGTCAAACGGATGTAAACGACCACTATCATATAGCGCGCTGGCCATTGTGGTCCACGATTACATGCGCACAGCAGAGAGTAAAACAAGCAATGGGTCAGAGTGATCATCCAGCCGTCCGCACGGAGCATGATTAAATTGTGCTAGTCAACCCGGCACCCAACGAGAATTTACTTGGCTAATTACTCGTATTCCGGTTGATCGCGTGTAGGATGTACGAAGAAGACCGAAATCTCAAATTAAAGGACTGAGGTATTCGTGAGGAGAACGCGCCAGCGATTACCAGCACCGACGCTGCAGGCGTTAAAAATGCCAAGTGAGGTCATACATAAGATCTTTTCATCACATGCCCTTGACCCATGTGACTTGTAAATACTTTGGCCGAATTATAGTCTAGAGACTTGCGATAACCGCTGCGATAAAACGTAGGCAAAGGAAATACGCGGGAGCCTGCTGCTCAAGGTATCGCATCGCGCAAAACTCGTGCACGTAAAGGGAAGTGTTATGTAGGAAAGTTTCGCAATGCTTTGTGTAAAATTGTAAGTTTTACTGCGCTAAGAACCTAAGTGTCCAAAGTTGTAAAGTCTCTAATATTCTGGGGCAGATCGCTGATTTTGGGAAGAGCGACAAAACAGAGGAGACAACTAACAGACACAAGAGCGAGGCCGTTACACCTGGCGACAGAAGAGACGTAAAGTTACATGACTTTATATATAGCCATAGAGAGGATATTTGAGTGTCACAGGTGGAAAGTCAACGCTGGACCACGTAAAGATAGACTCAATTGACCTCAAGCGTGGAAAATAAAAAGATAGAAGGCGCGTATGTATATAACACTACGCAAAATAAACGTGGGGAGAAGAAGATACACGAAATGGCGCTTCCGCGAGCGCTAATATGAAGTGAGCGTTCCTCTACTCGTTACGGACACCATAACACTAATCTGAAAGTCTAAAAAGTTTGATCCGCAAGCGATGGATAAAGACCCGTGTTTGCTGAATACAACAAATTCTATGTAGTAGGAATAACCGAAATTTAACAGCCACAAAAACTGGGCAGCTCGACCAGAGAAACTAATTCCTAATCGCTACTTGAGCTGAGGTTTTGTAATTTCCTGCGTAATTGTACCAAGAATCTATGTTGTGTGGGGTTGCTCGCGCCAGAAAAAGTACTTACTGAGAGCAAAATGCGGAGACGAGGAATCGTCTCATGAAGATCTAGGAGGGTACCAACCTAGTGTGGCGGATGAACACGCTGCGGAGGCAGGCGGCAATAGTGAATGGGGGAGGAGGAACAGGAAAGACTAGCGTGGATGGTTAACAGAACGGGAGATGGAATGAGGGCGCTCGCGAGACTCGTCGGTGGAGTGCGTGGGGCTGAAGAGCCAGTGATAGAAGTAGGCTCACGAAGAGAGGATAATCAGGATCGCCTTGGGAGCGAACAGAATAAAGGGATAGGCGAGCTGCCAGCGGGACAGACGCGAGGAAGAGAAGGCTGTGTGGATACAGAGACAGGGAAGAGGGACTGGTGGTACAGGGCAAACAAGATGGGTTGTGTGGTATGTGGTACAGCGGATGGAAGGCTGAAGCATGTGGTAAGGAACGTAACAACGGTGTTTCGCACAACACGGATACTAGCTAGGGTCGAGGATCGGCAATAGACGGGAAGGCACTAAAGATGAACAGAAAATGGAGCGAGTGTGGTAACACGAAGCGCAGCACCCGCGAGACGCCGGCCGATGAGCTCATGGTGTGAAATAACAGCCTCCGACAACAATCGGACCGAAACATGGATGGGGTGTGGACAGGAAACGATACTGGGACGGCGGAAAGGTCTGTTAGGGGGAGGGAGGTAGGAGTAAACCAAGAGAGAGATCGTGGGGTGCGAACACACGTGGTAACGTGGTACCGCAGGTCATCAGAAAGGAGAGCCTGCGATGTGGCGGCTCGCTTCTATTTATAAGTAGCATTTCTGCGAGTAAATAACGGCCGCGGCAGAACTGGAAGAGGAAATTAAAAAGCTACAAAACGGATTAGAGCACCACGGTAAATTAGTATCGGATCAGATCTAAAAGAGCACCCAGAGTTTGAGTCAGCGGGCGCCAGGTCGACGGTAATACGAAGTTTTTTTGGGAGATTATTCGTTTATATAATTTGTGATACAGACCGGTCCTGATGTGGATACTCTTGAACCTTGATTGTGACCTTACACTTTAGGTTATCAATCGCTTGGATCAAACTTTTAGACCTTTCAGATTAGTTTTATGGTGAGAATCCGTACGAAGTAGAGCGAAAGCTACGATTAGATTTCATATAAAACCAGGAGCGTCCATTTGTAATGTCCCACGTATGGCATTTATACACGGCCTTCATCTTAATTTTCGTTGAGGTTTGAGTTATCTCTTTTACGTGGCCAGCGAACACGTGCCTGACATAAATCCTTTATGTATATCTAAATCATGTAACTTTACGTTCTTACTGTCGCCAGTGTAAACGGCTGTTGTGTTGTGTGTTAGTTGTCTCTCGTGTTGTGTCTCCCAAAATACGATTTGCCCAGAATATTAGACTATTAAAACTGCACTTAGCTTAGCAGAAAACTTAACCAATTCAGCAAAGATTGCGAAATTTCTACATAAAACTCTACGTGCACGAGTTTGCGCAATGCGAACCAGCCGCGATCGCTTTGCTACGTTTACCAATACAGGGTTACCGACAATCCTCTAGAAATTCGGAAGTTACAAGCTCACCATGAAGGGATGGATGTAAAAGATCTACGTAGACCTCACTGGCATTTAACCTAGCATCGTACGGGCTGGTCACGCTGCCGCAGCTCCTCACGATACCAAATACTATTACTGGATTCGTTTTCGATAAAAAAAAAAAACACCGAACCGGAATAACGTACATAGCGACAAGTAAATTCTCGTGGGGTGACAGCAACAATAACAATGCTACGCGGAACGCTGAATGGACTATGAGCATATGCTGGAGGGGGAGAGGGGGGGGGGGGGGGGGGGCGGGGAGGGGGGGGGGGGGGCTCTATGTTATCGTGGACACATGCACGCGCTATAATAATAGTTCGTGTACCGACTCAAGAGTGGACAGCGACCAGCACGATTAAAAACCGGATGTCAAATACACGCCCGGACAA